GCCTCTCCTGCTTTCGGTCCACGAGGACACTCTCGATCAGGGTCGCGTGGGCTGAGCTGTTCTCCATGCCCATCAGCTTGTTGCTGGCAAACATCAGTGTCTTGTTGGAGACGGCATTAAGATTGATGTAGTTGAAGAACTTCTTGAAATACTTCTCCCGCTCATCCTTCCGGAAGTACACCCAGTTGATGAGGGCACTGAGAGCCTGGTCCTCATTGAGCACATGCAGGTTTTCATCTCGGAGCAGGCGTCCAAAGATGACAGGGGGACAGCGCATGAAGTGCATACAGCCCTCGGGACTGGCCCAGTAGTGGAAGTTGTCACGAATGCCAGAATAGGCCAAGTCTGACACCTCTTTGAGCTCAAACAACTCAGCCAAGAAGAGGTAACGCAAGCAGTTTGCACGGCGGATGGACTTAATCAGGAAGTCATTACAGTGGATTCGAAGGCGTGGCGTGTTAAAATACTGGGCCCCGCGAAGGAGCTCCTCCACGTTCTGCTCCGAGATCACCACCTTGCCACTGTAGAAGTAGTCCAGGAGCTGGTCCACCGTGGCTGGACTCAGGTAGTTGGGGTCAATGGTGATAAAGAGCTCATCGGTGGTCTTCATGTCATTGTTGGAGATGAGGCTCTTCACCAGTGGGGAGACAGCAGCCAGCACGTTGCGATGTGCAAAGAAGACATGGTGGTCCACAGTCAGGGCCATGTCCCAGTACTCTTTGCGTTTCCTCTGTTTGTTCAGGTTCTGCAGCACAAAGCTGTTGTAGTTTTTCTCCGTGAATTCCAATTTCATGGTGCTTCTGGCTGGCTGAGGCAGAAGATCAGCAGTGGGTACTGGAGAACAGACGTTCTCAGGCCTTTGGGATTCAGATTGATGGTTGTTTGCAGAGCAGTTGATCAGGGAGGAGGGGGGCTGGGAGAGAGGGTGATGTCATAGAATGGATGAGGTCGTCACAATGCCAGCCCCTGAGGCCTTTCTCAGAAGCACAGGGCCTTTCCCCCCTCTGATGGCTCCAACCTGTCAAGGCTAGATCTCCTGCCAGGACTTAAAGCCTTGGGCCCAGAGCTCAGGAGAAACTTGGAGATGGGTTGCGACTCTTATCCAGGGCTTTTAAAACTCAGTTCAAGCCTATTTCTGGAATGTTTGAGCCAGTCTGGGTGGGGGTGGTATAGGAAGGGAAAAGGGGAAGGTGGAGGAAGAAAAGCGATTTTTGGATCTAGAAGGATCCTTCCATGTACAGGAGGGAAACAGGCCCAGAGAAGAGAAGGGACTTGCCCAAGATCACACAGCAGTTTGGAATCAGACCCCTGGAAGCCAAGTCTTCTGTCACAGTACTCATCTTTCCAGGAAGCTCCTAACTATCTAGCTTTCCCCAGTCTCTGATTCTTAGGCCTCAAGGTACTCAAGGTACCTTTCTCTGCCAAGGCTCCTGGCCATCAGAGAAGAATTTCAGGCTCTGTCCTTTGCCTTCTAACCTTTGTAGCCATGGACACCACTTTTTTTTTTTTTTTTAATGACACCATTCTTCTTTAAAATGGAGGGAGAGGTAGAGGCCACTGACTGGAGCAGGGATAGAAGAGTCAGCCACACACTGGGGAATGGGAGGGCTTCTGAAGCCCTGATGATTTCAGTTCTACAGCAAACTGGGACCTTCTCTCCACATTTCCAAGTCTGTAGTCATGCAACTTTGGGGGCTGTGGCCGGTTAGCTCTCTCCATCAAGCATCGACTTGGACAAGTGGCTCAGACTCTGTAAACTTCAGTTTCCTCATCTGTGAGACGGGAATAACAGCACCCGCTTCGAAGGTTATTAATAATTTAAATGAGAAAATGATTAGAGCGTGTTAAGTACAATGTTTGGCTTGTAGAAAACGTTCAATAAATTTAGCTGCCGTTACTTTATTGATATTATATTAGTTCACCCAGCGCCGGTATCCTTGGGTGCTCCCTTTGTACGTAAATACCTGTCATCCTCTGGCTGGTGTTTGGTGGTGGCGGGCAATCAATCCCGCACCCTCTTTGGGCGGGCTGCGCCAGCCCGGTCCTGCCACGCGGTGGAGCTGGAGGGCCATCTCCGGCCGCGGAGGCCCGGGCGACCGCGCTCCCTGAGCTCGCCCGCAGCCCCCGCTCCCTGCGGGGACAGCAGCGCCCCCCTCCCACCACTCCAGCCCCCTCGCCGCGCGGTTCCCTCGCGCCCGGCGCCCGGTGGCGACTGCAGTGCCCGTGGCAGGGCCTCCCACGTCCAGCACAAAGCCGCCTGTGCCCGCTTTACAGGTGGGGTGCGGAGCGCGGGACAGGAGCCGTCTCTGACTCGCGGCGTCCCCCCGGGCGCCCCGCTGGGTGGGGTGGCGGCAGACTCCGTCGCCCGCCGGAGGGCGTGGGGTTCCCGGAGTGCCCGCCGCGCGTCTCTGTGTTGCCCGTGCCACGGAAGGGCTAAAGTTCAGCGGAGCCCCCGCGGAGGGTGGATGGCTTCTGCGGACAGTGGAAGAGCCCAGGGGCCCCACCCCGGACCAGCCTTGGGGGGCTCCCGGCAAGGGGCTCAACTCGAAGGCCTTTGTGGCGACGGCCAGATGGTCCCGAGGGGACCTAGGCCCCAAGCCCCACTCCCAACCCTTAGGTCGTCCTTAGCGCCCCTACAAGGAAGAGTGGAGCCTGGAGCTTGGGGCATGGGAGCCTGCCAGCTCTTTCCCTCCCTGGCTTAGTCAGGTTATCAGTCATCCTCTCTGTATCTCATTCTTCCATTTCAGACCTGGCTTTTTCCTTGGGGATTTGGCAACTTGAAAACGATTTAAAAGTACTTACGTTTTAGTGCTGAATCCGTTCACCTTGATTCCTGAATGGTATAGAGGCACTCAGTCTCTTGACAGATCTCTGCGCAAGGCTAAGAACTTCTGTCTTCCCCGTAAAAAGGCTTAGATTTCAGCCTCTCCATCAGACAAGCTGTGTGGTTTGGGTAGGTTCTTTTCTGCTGTCTCCACGTGAGACTGAGCTCCAAAGGCTTAGCCTGCTCTCTCGAGAAGTGGCAGCAGTTTCCGCGCAGGTGAGACCTGTTGGTGTTCATCGCAGGCACCTTTTCATTCCCATTAGTATCCAGGCCTGCCCTGGTGAGAGGCTGGTCAGCCTCAGCTTCTGGGGCATTCCAACCAAGAGTAGAGCCTGGATAGGGTCAGATCTGTTGTTGTACCTGCCCCTTACCCCCCATCCTGGGGCATTTTGGTGGAGGAATGACTGTGCCCCTTTGCATTTGTTTCAAGCACCAGAAACACAAGGGCAGGAAGGTCTCTCCAGTTGAGAAAGTTGGGTATGGGGGTGCCATGGACCTGAGAAGATCCAGTAGACTTAACTCCCTGTGCCAGACTTTGAACAGCTGGACAGACTGCAGCCCAGAGAGGGGAAGGTAACACAACTCTGAGAGCACAGGGCTGGAGCTTGGAGCCAGGGTTCCTGTCTCCTTCCTCTGTTCTCTGGCCACAAAGGAAAGCTGGCAGTCTGGTTTGTCCTCTGCCCTTCATGAACTGTAGCAGTTGCTTTCTTTAAGAAATCCATCGAGGAAGTAAAATTAGTGTACACCTGCTCAGCCAGCTTTGTTGCCTGGCTTTTCTTCAGCCTAGAAAGCTCTTCTGGTCAGCTTTTATCTTCCTCCAGCCAAGTGAGGAAACAGAGGTCAGCACTTGGCTGCATGCCAGGGTCCATGACCTGGCTATGTATATGTACTGGGCGCATGGTCTCCTTGGGAGCTACCAGAAAGTTCACTGACTGGTTGGTCATTCAGTCCCTGTTGCCCAGGTGTGGCCTCAGCCCGGTCTTTATTCCACTCCCCGCCCTCCACTCCCTGCCCAGCTCAGCATTTTTGGCTTAAGAAGACTCCCTAAGGGAGGTGACCCTAATATTCTAACCTTCTGGGGAACATCACTTGACATATCATTTTGCTGGGAAGCCCTGAAGATGAGGGGTATGTTTTAATGATACACAGACTGGCCTCAGCAAGAAAGCTCAGGAACTCCCTCATTTGTACCTCTAACGCTGGCTTTCTCACTTCCGTTTATTTTCAACTGGCCACTTGGCTTGCATATAGTTTTGGCTGGCCATGGCCCTAATTCAAACTCATGGCATCCTCATTTTAGTTCCACTGGCAAATTCTTTCTTATGTCTTAGTTCCAATGCCTGGCCCATGGCCAGCCCAGGGATTGGCTGCCCTTGGATCACATGTCCACTTTGGTCCAATCAGCCGTGTGAGAGTAGGTCCCCCAGATGAAAGCATAGAGGCCAGCGGGGTGCAAGGTTCCGGGGAGAGTTTGGAGGGACTGGGAAGCCTGAGTTACCTAAGGCAGGAACTAAGAGTTATGATGACCTTAGTCACCAATTAAGAATCAGGCATGAATGACATGGAAGATATTACACAAAAGAGATTTGATTGTTGTCTTAGTCAATATCCCTGGGTGAAAGGAGGGGCACAGCACGAGGCTGCGTTCACAGTGCAGCCATACCTTCAGGAAGCGAGTTCCCTGACTGGCCTGCTCCGACTGGGTCTCTAAGGCAGCAGCCTGCTGTCTCTCCCCTTGGAGAGGTCCTGCTTCTGCAACGCCCAGCGTGACATCTGGGTCGGGTCCTCCCACACAGACCACGTGAAATCGTTATGCAGGGGATCTTTGTATGGTGTGAGGCCAAACACAGAACCAAACCGGCAACTCTAAGCTCCCCTCCCCCGCTCACTCCTTGGGATGTCTCCCTGGAACATTTGGGCCTGTCCCGCATTCCTGGAGGGAGCAGCGGCACAGCTGCCCCTGCAGCTGCCAGAAACAGGCGGTGGCTCCCGCCTGGGGAGGGCAGAGGCCGGAGGGCTTCCTCCGGGGGCCCTGGTGAGCTCACACTCACCCCCACACTCACTGACTTCATCCTTCGATCCCTTGGCTGGGAGCCCAGGCAGTGTGAGGGGCTTTCTCTCCCAGAACAGGCCCTAGGCCACCTCGCTGAGGTGGGGGAGGGGCGGCTTTCCGGCCTGACCCGAGGCCCCAGGAACCGGGAGGCACATATGGAGCTCTGAGATGCCAGAGGATTTTAAGAGAAAAGGTGGGAGGGGGACAAGGGTGGTGGTGAGTAGTGGTACTTTGCTATTTAAAGGGAGAAAATGCAAGGAAGTGAAACTTTTCTCTCCATTTGTTCTTTGGCATTCCCCTCAGAGAATTCCAGGAGGCATGCAGATGACATCATGTCTTAAAACTGAGAAATCTCGATTATTCTGTGAAAGGCAGTTCCTGCCTGTCCCATGTTTCCAATGGAAGCTGCTTTATATTTATGTGTTTAAAGCGGTTTTATGTTACATTTAGATGAGGGTTTAATAATCTTAAATATCTACCAGAAGTAGATTACAATGCATGAAGATCCCATAAAATGAACTTCACCTTGAAGCATCACAAACATTTGGAATTAGAAAAAGACCAGGGATGGATATTATAAGAAATGTACAAAAGAAGTTCGCTTAGAAAAAAAAAAAAGTTTTAAAATTGATTTTTTGTTTTCCCCCTAAGTCCAAATAATTGTGGTCTAAGTAACCATCAGGGTAAAGGCTTTCAATAGGCTCATTTCTTTCGATAAGAATAAGTTCGTACAGAACTGTATATCCAAGTGTATGTGCAAGAGACACTCAAAAGCATCCCCCACACAAGCACATACACCCACAGGGACAGACATGCAGCTGAGTTTTTGTTGTTCTAGGCACTTCGTATCCATGTTAAGTCTGCCACGTTCCCATTCCATTTAATGAATTACTTCCTTGGAGGCAGGACATTTTCTTCAAAGAAGCCCTGGTTGACGACATTCCCTGCAGGGAAGTATCGGGCCACCACGAAGGAAGACCCATCGCTTGCGGATGCCTTCCCCACTCCCATCTTCTTCGTATTCTTCCACACCATGGCTGTGAAGTGTCCTGGAGGGGCAGAGGCAGGGGGAGAGGGAAACAGGTTAGTGGGCAGAATCTGGAGAAGGACGTTTCCAGGGGTTCTCGAACCCTGCACCATCTTGTCAGGCTTGGGAAGCTTGAGCTTCACACACACCAGTCAGAGGCAGGAGACAGAGAACACTCCCCTGCCTGACTTTCTGAGGCACTGGGTCCTCTCAATCAGCCACACAGACCCTCCTCACCTCACCGTTTCCAGATGCCCAAAGGTGTCGTGGTGTCCCGGAGATCACAACAAAGCCAAGTGAGCCCAACAGTTAGGATGCCACGCCACTGGCACCTGCCTCCACCCCTCCGCGCCCCCCAGACTCTATTCTTCAAGGTCATGCATGATCTCCATGTTTCTCCCTGAAGATCACTTTTTGTCCCTCTCTTACTTGACATCTCAGGAACATTTAATAGTCGACTCCTCCCCTTTTTGAAGTACCCTCTCTTTTGGTTTCCATGATGCTGCCCTCTTTGGGCATTCCCATCTTCCTCTTCTGCCTCTTCCGCCTCTTCCATTTCCTGATAAATGCTGGAGGGGCCCGCCCGCCCTTCCCAAGGCTCAGTCCTGGGCTTGCTTTTCTTTACCTGCTGCGCTCTTTTAGGCAATTCCATCATTCTCTGGCTCCCAAATTTATTTCCCTAGCCCAGATCTCTCCTCTGTGTTCCAGATGCAACTACTTACTTGACATTTCCACTTGGATGGCTCACAGGCATCTCGAATGTCACCTGTCCAAACCTCACTACTGATTTTGGTTACCCCCAGAGTCATTGCTCTTCCTACCTTCCTTTTCCATTTATGTTCCCTCCATGCACACAACCCTAGGGACTGATCTGTATTCCTCCCTCTCCCTCATTACCCCCTCTACAACCCATAATTCAATCCTGGAGACTCTAACTCCAAAACAGATCTTAAGTCTATCCACTCCCCAAACTTGGGTTCCAACCACAAACTTTCTCATGTGGACCACTGTTAATAGCCTTTGACTGGTTCCCCAGCACCCACCTTTGCCTCCTCCAATTCACTTTCTCTAAAGGAGCCAGAGTAACCATTTTTAGACATAAGTCATATCTGTTTACTTCCCCACTTAAAAATCCCTCAACTGCTTCCAGTTGCACCTAGAATGAAAGGGGATGCTTTGGCCCAAGGGCCTCCTTTCCATTACTTGAACATATCAGGTTAGTCCCCACCATGGAACCCCTGCACACATTGGCCACTGTGTGGAATGCTCTCCTGATGACCAACATCTTATCCCTTAGGCCTCAGCCCGAATGTCACTTGTGCAGAGAAGCCTTTCACAATCACTTATTTCCTCAACACCTCCCTCCCAAGATCATCCTATCATACCCTGTTCTTCCCCCTCATAGCATTCTTCCATTTGCAATGCTACGTGTGTTTGATTTCTTGTTCATTTGCTTGGCTCCATCGCTAGGGCTCTCAGACTCACAGGGGCAAGAATGAAACTGTTTTATTCAGCAAAGTATACTCGGTACCCTGGCCCAGCCTGGCACATGAAAAGTGTAAAATAAACCTTCGTTGCATGAATACGTGGGATGAATGAAAAGGTAGATGGAAAAACCATCTTGGACTTGGCTTCTACCCTCACTGCAAGTGCAGGCCTTCTACATTTTGCACTCTTTGAAATCTTCACAAGTTGGAGCCTCCTTAATTCCCTCTGCTCTAAGCCAAGCAGCCTGGTTCCTTCTCAAGCTACTGCCTGACCTTCTAGACACTTCTGTGGTTTGTTAAGCTTCTCAGCTATTGTGTCCTGCTATTGAGGCTGCCTGCCCCTCACTCACTGCTTCCTTCCAACTTTTCATATAGCTCAGCGTCCCACTCCCCTTCCACTTGGGGAGTAAAAGAGTTGCTGTAATGTACTCTTTGCTCAGTGACCATAAATTCTTCTGTCTCCAAGGAGTAGAGGGTGCTTACCCTTTGCACCTTCACTGTTAAGGACTCAGAGATCCTTTGACAGGTCAAATATTGACTTCCATAGCACAGAATGACATTCATTTGCTCAAACAACACTGAAGAGATTATGTTTCCTCCTTGAGGGTAGGGACCACACTTGTCTTATTTTATTTTATTTTTTTAAGATTTTATTTATTTATAGGAGAGAAAGCGAGAGCAAGAGAGATAGCACAGAGAGAAAAGCAGACACCCTGCTGCGCAGACAGCCTGACTGCGGGGCTCGATATCAGGACCAGGAGATCAGGAACGGAGCTGAAGGCAGGCACTTAACCGACTGAGCCCCCCAGGCACCCCCATGCCTGACTTACTGGTCACAATATCCCCAGTGTTTAGCACTGAGCTTGACACAAAGGAGATGCTCTCCCAATATCTGATATAAATGAAAGAGACAGAGGAAAGGAGGAAAATTGAATCAGAATGGCAAAGTATCCCACAGGATAAGAAAGAAAGAGGTAGCCATTTTACACCTCTTTGGGTGGATTTTTTTTTTTTTTTTAAAGAAAATAACAGGGGCGCCTGGGTGGCTCAGTCAGTTAAGCGTCTGCCTTCGGCTTGGGTCATGATCTCGGGGTCCTGGGATCGAGTCCTGCATCGGGCTCCCTGCTCAGTGGGGAGCCTGCTTTGCCCTCTGCCTGCTGCTTCCCCTGCTTGTACTCTCTCACTCTTTCACTCTTTCTCTCTCCCTGGCAAATAAATAAATAAAATCTTTTAAAAAAGAAAAAGAAGAAGAAAATAACAAGTGTCGGTGAGGATGTGCAGCACTTGGAACCCTTGTGCGCTGCTGGGGGAATGTGAAATGGTGCAGCCGCTGTGGCAGACAGTACGGGGGTTCCTTAAAAAATGAAATATAGAGGGGCACCTGGGTGGCTCAGTGGGTTAAGCCTCTGCCTTCGGCTCAGGTCATGATCCCGGGGTCCTGGGATTGAGCCCCGCATCGGGCTCTCTCTCTCTCTCTGCTCAGCAGGGAGCCTGCTTCCCTTCCTCTCTCTCTGCCTGCCTCTCTGTCTGCTTGTGATCTCTCTCTCTGTCAAATAAATAAATAAAAATCTTTAAAAAAAAATGAAATATAGAATTACCATCTAAACCAGCAATTCCACTTCCAGGAATAAACCCCAAGGAACTGAAAGCAGGGACTCAGATACTGGTACACTCGTGTTTATAGCAGCACCACTCACAGTAGCCAAAAGGGGAAAAAAACCCAAATGTCCACCAATGGATGAATGGATAAACAAAATGTTATAAATACACATACAATAAAATATTATTCAGCCTTAAAAATGAAATTCTGATATATTCTACCTTGAGGATGAACCTTGAGGACTTTATGCTAAGTGAAATAAACCAGACACTGAAAGACAAATATTATATGACTCTACTTATATGATACCGAGAATCACCAAACTCACAGTGACAGAAAGTAGAAGAGTGGTCACCAGAGCTTACGGGTGGGCAGGGAGAGAGGGAGGGATGGGAGTTATTGTTTAATGGGTTCAATTTGAGATGACTGAAAAGTTCTGGAGATGGATAGGGCAATGGTTGTACAACAAAGTGAATGTATTTAATTTCACTGAACTGTGCTCTTAAAATGATTAATTTTTTGAAGATTTTATTTATGTATTCACGAGAGACAGAGAGAGAGGCAGAGGGAGAAGCAGGCTCCCTGTGAGATTTGCCCCTAAAAATGGTTTTTTTTTTTAAGATTTTTAATTATTTGACAGAAAGATAGAGAGATTACAGGTAGGCAGAGAGGCAGACGGAGAGAGAGAGGGAGAAGCAGGCTCCCCGCTGAGCAGAGAGGCCAATGCGGGGCTCGATCCCAGAACCCTGAGATCATGACCTGGGCCAAAGGCAGAGGCTTTACCCACTGAGCCATCCAGACACCCCAAAATGGTTATTTTTATGGTAAATATGTTTTACCAGAAGATAAAGAAGAAAGAAAGAGAGAAAAAGAAAGAAAGGGGGAACCTGGGTGGCTCAGTCAGTTAAGTGTCTGCCTTCGGCTTGGGTCATGATCCCAGGATCCTGGGACGGAGCCCCGCACCCCACCCGGCTCTCTGCTCAGCAGGGAGTCTGCTTCTCCCTCTGCTGCTCCCCCTGCATGTGCTCTCTCTCTCTCTCACTCACTCTCACTCACGAATAAAAAAAATCTTTTAAAAAAAAGATTGTGTGTATTTCGTCCTACAGATGAACTCCATTTTTATGATTTCTAAATGTAGGTAATACTTTATTTAATTGTCTATGTCCATAGAAGATCTGAGGTTACCAAATTGTTTACAAGAATAACAAACCATAAATAGTAATCAGCAGAGCTGCTGTGATAAAATCAAAGCAAGAACTCAAGGAAAACAAACCCCAGGCACAACTACGCATCTTTTTTTTCTTTTTAAGATTTTATTTATTTATTTGACAGAGATAGAGAGCGTAAGTAAGCAGAGCAGCAGGCAGAGGGAAAGAGAGAAGCAGGCTCTCCGCTAAGCAGGGAGCCTGATGCGGGGCTCGATTCCAGGACGCTGGAATCATGACCTGAGCCGAAGGCAGCCGCTTAACCAACTGAGCTACCCAGGTGCCCCGATGCATCTTTTTCACTTATCCTTAAACTTGTATTAACCAGTGCTCGCTAATCTCTGATTTTCACCTCAAAATCAAAGAGAAACGCTTCTTGCCTCTTCCCCCTGGGTCCTCCTACTCTCTGAGTCACAGCTCCAGGCTGTCCAGCAGCTTGGTGAGGTGTCACCGTTCCCAAAGGCTGCCTTTTCATTAAGGCTCAAGCTCTTCGACACGTGTGAGCCTTTTCTCTCAAAAGAACTGGACTCTGGCTACTGACCACCTGCTTCCTCTGTTGCCCGGGCGAGGAAGAACTGCCATTTTTCCACGGGTTGCCAAGAAAATGATCACAGACACAAGCAGCATGTGGGCCCGTGGAGGCCTTTTCCAAACAGAGGAGACTAAGTGATTTTCCCTCTGGCCAGGGAGGTTTCTGTCCAGAGATAATTAAGTGTGGTTATTTAGAGACGAGTTAAAGGATACAACTTCCTTAGCAACCATCAGACACACAGTGGTTTCTAACTAAATCACTAACTGACACAAAACCAGACACAAAACCTTTTCTTTTTTTTTTCTAAAGGGATCACATCCTCTTTCCTGCAACCGACCCAAAAGCCCTAGAATATACAGTTGAAAGACACATTAAATAAGTCACAGTATGTTTCTGCAAGAGAATAATGATAATGGGTAACAGTAAGAAAGAACGACAAAGCTCTTTTTGTATTAACATGGAACAATCTCTTACAATCTGCTGGGTGAAGAAAGCAAATGCAAAACAGATCATAGACCAGGGTAGAAAAAAGGGGAAAAGAGAACATATTTACTTAATGCTGGTATAAGATAGGACCAACTCTAGGATAATAAATAAGAAATGGAAGGGAAAGTGCTAGAGACCAGGAATGGAAGGATGACTTTTTACTTTATACAGTTTGCAGATTTCATGTCATGTAGAAGTATTATTTATTCAGAATAAATAAACAAACCAATCTATGTATTAAAATAGAATGTAATAAAGGGGGTGTCTGGGTGGCTCAGTTGGTTAAGTGACTGCCTTCGGCTCAGGTCATGATCCTGGAGTCCCAGGATGGAGTCCTACATGGGCTAGGGAGTCTGCATCTCCCTCTGATCCTCCCCCATCTCATGCTCTCTCTCTCTCTCTCAAATAAATAAATAATCTTTAAAAAAAAAAAAAGGTAACAAAGGAGTTGCAAGAAACAGTTTTTCTCCACTCAGCTTGTAGCATAGGACTGTGCCCCTCATCACTAGATGCGCTGACTCAGGGTGGGTGGGGATAGATTACAGGGTATTTCAAAGTCTCTTTCCCTACAACATGGACTCAGGTCAGGGAATGAGGCATGGGGAATGGGCCTGAGGATCTTTAAGGGTCTTGCAAACTCTCATTCTACCACCACCCAAAGCTGTGCTCCTGTCTTAGGATCAGGCTCTGTCTGTCCCCAGGCATTGCCCACTGGCACCTGAGTGGGACAGCCTAGGAGCTAGTTGTTCTGCGGTTTTCCTCTTTAGGGATGGGAGATGTGGGGCAACAGGTTGGACAGGTGGTCAGTGATCATGGCAAGCTCCATTCCCAGCTCTGACACTTGCGAGACTCCCACCTTGGAGCAGGAGCCATGGAAAAAACATCGGATTGAGGATAGGAGATCTATAATAAGTCTCTTCCTCTTTCTGGGCCTCAGTTTCCTCCTCTGCAAAATGGATAGAATAAAGCCCCACCTACAACTGGTGCTGTGAGGCTCACGTGGCCAGGAATGTGGAGTCACTTTGTAATTGTCAAGTGGCAGGCACACAGGAGCAACGCTAGTAACTTGCTCTGACACATGTCCAGTTGCTCGGGAGCCTTGCTCCTGGGAAAAGCAAATCCAGAGGGTGCGAAATACAATGTCTTCTGGACATTGAACTTTATGAAAAGATAGGTTCTGGGTCTTCAAAGAGCTTTGATCACTGGGAGAAGGTTGTTCCTGTTCCTTCCCTCACTTCTTGAATTTAACTGCCACAGAACCACCACTGAGAGCAGCTTCCTTACCCCTGGCTGGACAGCTAAGAAGAGAAATGCCTCAGTAGATCTGCACCTCTGCCCCACAGTCCTGCCCACACTGTTGCAAGAACCTCTGCCCCAAAGGGGTGAGCAGCAAACCACAGGAAACAGTGACTGGCTCTGAGAGCATGTCACTTCCTGCTGCGGAAGAATCTTCCAGAGGGTGAGAGGCCACAGGGGCTCCACCCATGGGTGGGATGGGGTAGGGTAGGGTAGGGATGGGCAGGGAATCCCCTTTTCAGCTTCCCTGGCTCCTTTTGTCAGAGAAACTCTCAGTCCTGTCCAACCCCTCCTGGGCCGCAAGTAGATCTGAGTCAGTTCTGAGGAAAGACAGGTGTCAGGTGAGGGGAGTCGGCTGAGGGGCAGGTGGGGGTCCAGAACACAGAGCGGTTGCCTGGGGCCTCAGTCAGCTAAATGTTTCCTGCTCACCCTGGAGGCCTCACAGGAAAGCGGGACGGTCCCAAGGCCGCTATGGCCTGTGGCACTGCCCTGCATCTACACACAGGCTCTCAGAATGTCCCCTAGAGGCTACCGCCTTGCCCCTCGCCCTATGGGACAGGGAAGGACAGAGAGGCAACCTAAATTCACACGACTAGTGCTGGAGCTGAGAGCAGATCTAGGCTGTCTGCGCTCCAAGCTCATCTGAACGCAAACTGGAGAGAACAGGTGAAGGGGTGGGAGTTGGGGGGCAGGGGAGACGCCTGGGAGGCTGGAGGTGTGGGGAGCACCTTGGAAGGATGCAGGGTATGAGGGGGAGGGAGTTAAGACTAGAAGGAGAGAGTGAACAGTGTGGCCCTTTTCCTGATGAGAGGGCTTTAGAAAGAATATTCTGGATGCTGGAGCAGGCTGGATTGGAGGGGACCAAAACTGGCAGGAGGATGACCGGTTATACCACCACTTCTGGGAGGAGGCACCTGGGAATTTTTAAAATCGACAGCCTCCTTACGGCACACTCTAGTCATGTGGAGAACTTGGAGCTGGTGGGACAGGAATTCCTGGATCGGGTGTACTCAGAGCGGGGTGCATGAGTGTTGGAGGAAGTGACGGGGACAGTACTGCCCTTTGGGTGAAGTCAAACCAGAGAAATACAGAAGAGGTAAAAGAGGAGAGACACGATTGATTTTCAGAGGGTTAGTACCTTTCCAAAGTCAGAGGCCCAAACTGCAACCCTGCCCAGGCCCAGGCCACGGGGGTGACCCCCTCACTCACCAGTCCCAGAGGTGAAGCCAGGCTGCTGGAAGTTGTAGTTCTTGATTTCACTGTACCATCGATCAGCCACCTCCTTTCCTGTATGGAAAAGACACTGTTTCAAACTCGGCAGCAAAATTAACCCACTCGCTACTCCTTCCACCTTCTCCCACTAACCCCAAACCACACACCCCATAGACGTCTGATAAAGCACCAGTGAGCTGAAACAGGGACCCCTGCCCATTCCCCTCTGCAGAGAGGGCCTTGCTTAGGAAGACCCTTGGCCTGGCTTTGGGGGACCGGCCCTGCCGCTAATTTATGGTGTAATCCCGCGCAAGGCCTTCCTCTCTCTGGGCCTCTGTACAAGGGTTGTATGCAACGTACTCCAAGGGCTTCTAATGATGCTCTGAGTTTTCGGGACACTCTGCCCTCACCCCAACCTAAGTGTGTCTCCTGAAATAACCACAGGAGGAAAGGCCCTTGGGCTGGTGGGTCAGGGTCTCCACTCCAGGCAGGAGAAAACCCACAGCATTTCCCTGGGAGCTGTTGATGTCCAGGCCACTGTGGGAGCCTCCATTCCACAGCAGTTAAGTCTTACCCTTAACTTTCACATGTACATGGATCACCTGGGGCACTTGTTAAAATTTGGATTCTGACTGCCTAGGTCAAAGCTGCAGCCTCTGAGTTTGCATTTGTAACAAGCTCCCAGATGCCACTGCTTCCCCAAGGACCACACTTCGAGCAGCCAGGCCTCCACACACGGGTCTCACCTGGGGAGCACTGAAACCAGGCCGATGCCTGGGGCCTGCCACAGACTGTGTCAGTGTCTCTGGAGGAGAGACCCAGGCATGGGTCTTTTCTAAAAGTGCTGCAAAAGATCCCAATGTGTCCCCAGGGTGGGGATAAAGACAGTCTGTGGAGAGGGATGGGGAAACTGGGGCCACAGAGGGTAGCAACTTGCTCAGGGCTCTATAGGGGACCAACGCAAGGCTGGGACCAATCACCTCCATTGCCTGCTGGTTCCTGACCCTTCAGGGAGCCTTCTCCCCATTAGGGCCCATGGCCCCGGCCTGGAAAGGAGGCTGCAGGCTCCAGCGTGGGCTCACCTCTCCCGCTCTGCGGGCCGGCAGCTCAGGGAAGGGAAACCGAGAGGAGGACAGCAGGCCTCCCCAGGGGAACTCCCAGGAATGTTAGGCCCAGGAAGGAGGGAGCAGCCATCTCCCACTGGGGTCTGGAGAAGACTTCAGAGGGCAAAGTGTCTCTCTCCAGCATTTTTCCTAAAAAGCCAGGACAGCCTCGTCAGAGCCGGGAAGCTCAAGAATGTTTGGTCAGTGTGGCGGGATCACCATTCCAGGCTGTGACCTCAGATGGAGGGATTATCTTTCTCATTTTTTTTTTCCTAACATGGAAGAAGCTCAATTGCATTTTTCTGATGATAAAAATGAATACACCAACATTTTAAAAATGAAAGCAAAATGGGAAGAAAGCAAAACTGCAGCTGGGGATACTTGGGAGCCTACAGGGTCAGGCTGAAACTGCACAGAAAGGGCAGAGACAAGACTTTCGCCCCCGCCCCCACGCCCCAGCTGGGAGCTCTTCCGAGGGGGAGGGCCGGGCAGTCTGACTCATCTCTGTGTCCCTGGCACCCGGCACAGGCCCATCCCCGAGCTGGCCATCTGAGACTTCGGAGAGCTGCAGGCAGCCCCCGGGAGCACACACAGAGAGCTCTGGGGCCCCTTTCCCTCTCTGGGCCTGTGGCTCCAAGGCTACATGGAGGGGGGTGCTGGGGCCTGAACACTGGATGTCCTGGGCCCAGCTCAGCCAGAGGGGAGGAGGGGGAGGGCAGCCGAGAAAGCGACCTACCTGTCTGATCGTAGGAGGCCCATGCCAGGTTCTCTCCGCACTGGCCACGACTGGACTCCGGGCTGTGCTTGAGGATCCTCGTGCTGGCCAGGGCCTCCGAATACCTGCCAGAGTCCACGCGCCCCTCAGAGCGGGCCCGCTCAGGGAAGCCCCGGGATGTGAGCCCTAAGCTGCTGCGGCCCAGCCTCCTTTCCCGCCCCAGGCTGGCCGTGGAGATCGGGAGCATCACGCCAGCTGCTCTTCTGAGCCCCACAATAGCCCCATTTTACAGAGGAGCAAACCGAGGCTCAGAGGAAAAGGACCTGCCGAGGTCAGTGGCGCAAGGGTTATTTATTCAAGCCTGGCTGTACCTGCCCCTCAAACCCACGTCCTCCGGGCTGCCCCCTGCCTTCCCCCTCCCCCTGCCCCGTGATAGCGCCGTGAAGGGCCCGCGTCACCCCCGCGCTCTGGGGACTCACTGCTGAGCCTCCCGGTTAAGTTTCTTGCAGAGCTTCAGTGGGGGGACACCGTGCTGCCGCCGGTACTCGTTGTGGGCCTTCAGGACCTCATTATTAAACTGCTTGGAAGCTGCAATGATTTCAAAATGGAGAAGGTCTCAGTGCAGAGAAGGGACCCACCAAAAAAGTGCGATGGCGGCTTCAGAATGCCGCCCAGCCTGAGCCCCAGGCTGCAGGGCGAGACTGTGCTCCCCTTCGGCACCCAGGCCAGCCGGGCGACAGGGACACCCTGCTCCACACCCCTGAGCCAGCCTCCCCATCTCTGCACAGTGGCACCTCCTGGGTCAGGTAGGGCCCGTGGACCGCACATGAGAGAACTGGGGATTTATCCAGGGCAGCGGGAAGGGGCTGAATGGGCACAAGGGGCTGAGAGGAGGACACCTGTGTTTCTGGGAGACCCCGCTGGCCGCTGAGTGGAGGCTGGGCCGCAGGTGCACAGAAGGCGTGGGGGGCTGCGGGGCGGGATAGGGAGCAATGGAACCGCTGGGACAAAATGTATGGAGACTGAAGAGCTCAGACCAGACCTATGGGGTATGGTGGGGGCTGGGAAGGGCTGGAGGTGGCAGCCCAGGGAGAACAGGCCTGGCTGTGGCGAGGGTACCCATACTGTGCTGTGGAAACCAAAAAGACTGGGACAGATAAAGAAGGGCCTAGGGAGGACAGCACTGGGGAAGTGGATTGAGGGGACAGGGTGGAAAAGAATGTGGTGGGGGGGGTGGGGGGGTCAGCTGGGCCCAGGGATGCAACTGGGTCATGACCTCAGAAAGGACAAGCTCAAGGAGGCTGCAGTTAGAGAGAGAATAAGTGGGTGGAGGCAAGGTCAACAGCGGACAGAAGTCACCCCAGTTTGGCTCTGGAATGGAACCCCCTCCATCCCCCACCCTCCATCCGTCTCCCCACCACTCCTCCGTCCATCTTGTGGTTCATCATCTGTTCAGCCACAGCCAGCCACCCATCACCCACCCATCGGTTCATCTGGTCTCTGAGTGCCTCCTCCACACCGGCCTCCTGGATTGTACAAGAGCTCCAGAGACACATCCACCTCGTCCAGCCCTCAGGGAGCTCACACACAGAGGGAGGCAGCCTTGTAAAGAGGCACCGGCAGAGTGATAGCCAAGGTGCAGGTGAGGAAGCCAAGAGGAACTTGGAGAAAAGTAACCTACCATGGGCTTGGGGATCAGGAAGGTGGCCCCTGATTGGAGGCCCCAAAGTGGCTCAGACAGAAGCTAGTGAGGCTGGTTGGAAGACACTGAGCACCAGCAGAGGGAATCTGGGAGCGAGTCGTGTGGGTTATTAGTAAGAGCCACAGGGTCGTTACACAGAGTTTGTCTCTCCTGGCAGGGGCCTGTCCCTGAGGCTTGGCCGTGGGCGGTAAGGGTGCACGTGGAGGGTGAAGAAGAGCTACTCCTCCCCCCGCCCAAGGTCATTCGCCAGCCTCCTCTCCTCTCCTCTGCTCTTCTCACCCCAGAGACCGACATGACCCAACAGGGAGTCTTCTTCCCCTGCCTCAGCCAGATTCCCCAGGTCTCCCGGGGCTTTGAATCAAATCCCACTGGGTCTCTGAGGCGATGCAGGAGAAGGAAGACCCAGGCCGGGGCCTGCCTTCAGGGAGCTCTGGGCTACATGTGGGCCAGGACAGGCGAGGTGACTGTGGGTCACGCCCACGGTGGGTGGCAGTTGAGCCGGCCCAAGGGGGTTCTAATCACCTGATGAGTTAGGCCTGTGGGGCCCCGCGGGGCAGTTCAGTGAGGTCTGGTCACAGCAATGTGGACAGGGGCAGGGGGGCTGAACGGCAGGATTTGGGAGGTTGTAGCTGACAGGCAGACATGGGGGACACCACGAAGGAAGGGGTGATGGTAGCTGCTTGCTACCATCTTGCCACCGAGACAGGGGAGGAGCTGTGACCTGAACTCTTCAGGTCTTTGTGGTCAAGAGAGGGGACAAACCCTTGTTGGTATGAAAGGTAAAGATGTCAGGTTTATGGGAGGGAGGAGGACAAGGGAAGGTACTGTTTACTGGGTGGAGTTTCAGATTTTCAGGATGGAAAAGTTCTGGAGATCTGTTGTACAACAACATTACGTACATGTGAATGTACATAATGCCACTGAACCGTAGGCTCTGAAATGGTGAGGATGGTGAATTTTGTGTCCCGTGTTTTCTACCAGAGCAATAAAAACAAAAATTGGGGTTCAGTATGTTAATGTGGTATTTGAGATAATGGAGTCACAGAGGTTCTTAGAGAATATGTCAGATGGAAGCCATAGCGACTGGTGGGAGCCAGAGGGGTTCTAGTCGAAGAGATGCAAAGGAGTCGGTAGGGCGGCCTGGAGGCCAGAGTGCCACCAGCCCCTGGGCAAGGCATTGCCAGTCCTGCAGGAGCCGGTGTTCAGCTGGATTTCCTCACCCAGCCTGGCCCTGGCTTTGTCTGAGAGGCAGCAACTATCGGAAGTGTGTCCACAAGTGGTGGCCAGGTGGAGAAGGGGTTGGAAACAGGGTCTTATAAGGAAGGTGGCAAGAACTGGGTCTGTTCATCCTGGAGATCAGCCTTTGGAAGACACAGTGGAGACCTCTGGTAATTCTGGGGCTCCAGAGGGCAAAATCAGGGCCAATGGGTAAAAAGGCAGGATGACAGATTTTAGCTCAGCCCAAGAAAGATCTTGCAATCAAAGCTTTCCACAAAAACTGAAAGAGTGACCTTACAAGGTAATGAGCTCTCCAGCACTGGGGGAGTACAAACAAGTGACTCGTCTCAAAAGGGTTCAGGCACTGGAGGCCAACTGGATGACCCTCAAGTCCCTCCAATCCTGAGATCCCATAAGGTCCCATCAGGGTGGGGTGAGAAGAGACAAGTAATGGCTGACCTCACACTTGCAGCGAGTTTGGAGCTTCTCTAAGGAGATGCAGTGATCACAAGTGTATGTGTCTGTGCAGGGGCAGGTGTGGGTGCACACAGTCAAGGGGCAGAGGATCCCCATCTGAGAGACGGGCTTGGTGAGGCCCACACTAATGTCCCTGCCAGCTCCCATGTCCCCCGCAGGCCACAGTGGGACACCACAGGAGGTGCATGGGACTGAGGAGGGTGGGCTATGGGGACCACCGATGTACCAGGGAATCCTCCCCGGAGGAGGCAGTAAGGAGGCAAAGCGGACACAGAAAGAGCCAGGCAGGATGCAGGAGCTGGTGGACCCAGGGCTATGGGGAGGAGGGGGAAATATGGGGAGTGGGTGGGTTAGCTGAGGTGAAGCCAGGTTAAAGCCAGCTCTGAGTGCCGGGCTCAGGTCGCACTGCGCCCAGCAGTGCTGTAGGTCCTGCAGTCTTTTTGGCAGAGAGGGACACACAAAGCTGCTAAAAACTAGGTCACACCAGAATGTGAGAAGTAAAAAGAAACAAAAGTGAAAGTTCCTGAGCCCAATCTAAGCTTGGTGCCCAGAAGCCCACGCTGATCACTGTCGCCAGCAAGGCCAGTGTCCTGGGTCAGGTTTTCTAGACAGGGGTCAGGAAGACTTTTTGGTAGGGGAGCCTTCTCTCCCTATCCCCAACCATACTTCAGAGGCCAGTCCCTGCCCAGGAGACTCCTTAGAGCAGGGCCTTAGCCTCCGGAGGCAAGATATCACTTGTGAACACACCCAGCGAAAGGCACACCTTATTCTGTACAAAAACCCTAGAACATAGATAAATGTAAATATTAAAAAGTCAAAGAAAACCCACCCATCCCCACATTAGACAGGGAGAGCCCTTACAGCCACCCCCCCAATCGGGGAGGGTAGGAATAATGTCCTTATGTTGTAGGAGGGTAAACCAAGGCTCAGAGAACTCCTACAGGCTCAGGGTGTTAGCCCAGAATGGAAGAGGTCCTTTCTTTTGCTGACCAACCATTTCCAGGTGCCAAGCCTGTGCATGATTTTATTTGCTTTTTGCCACCTTTTGTGGGAGCCCCCACCACTGTACCTTTTATTTGATAAGGAAACTGAGGCTCCAGAAGGGAAGTTACCTACGCAAGTTCCCACAAATGGTCCAGGGGTAGTAGACCCACGAAGAGGGAAACCCTGTCCTTAACTCTATACCACCCCTGAGGCCCAGGAGACAGAGGAAACACACTGAAGAGACAGTGGGGTCATCAGATCCGGGAGGAGGATCAAGTCCAGTGGGGTTGGGCCTGCCAATCTCTGAGGAGGGGCAGGAAGAGCAGAAAAGAACTTCCTCAGAAGCCTCCTCTATGCCAAGCCCTTTATGGACAGACCTGTCTGAGAGGCCCCAGATGAAAAGGAGGAGCTTCCAGGGACGGGTGTGGGGTTTAAGGTCAGAGCCGCTGGAAGGTGCAAGGAGCTGCCTGGGCAAGGTTTGCCGTGGCTGAGCGACTACGGAGTCAGGGCTGGGCTGTCTCCACCAGGGGAGGGAGTGTTGTGCTGGGGTGGAGGCTCTTGGAGATCCTTGGGGCCCAGGCTTCTAACTGCCAGATAAAAACTCAGGCCGTGCCCCTCCTCCTTGGGGCTATTGGCTGGGACAGACTCCTCCCTCACCATTGGTCCTCTTCTGAGGCCTCCCTGGGCCCAGTCTGACTCATTTCCCTGCCCTCTCCAAAATCCTCCCCAAAGACGTCCATCAGGGGTCAGGGCAGAAATTGTGGACAGGCCCCTTCGGTCCCCTTGGCAAGAGGTTGGAAAGCAACCTGGTCCCACCTTTGGGGCAAAGCTGGCTTTGCTAGTTTATCAGGAAGAGAAATTATAAGTTGATTAAAAAAAAAAAAAAAGTGAGTTCCAGATGGGTCGCAGGCAGTTCCTGCTCTTTCTGCCTGGATTCCAGGAAATTCAAGACCAGCTCTGCCTTTTACTAGCTGTGTGACCTTGGACAAGTCGCTTAATCACTCTGTGTCTCATTTCTCCCATATATAAAATGGGCAGAACAGTTTCTACCTCACACGGTTGTGGTGAGAATTAAATGAATTAACCTATGAAAATGCTTCAGAACAGTTCTGGAACACAGTGAACAGTTCCTAAATGTCTACTAGCATCATTATTGGGCAGAGACACTTTATCCCTTGGCCTTGGGAGAAACTGCCCTGTCAAAGCCTAGATTTTAGGGGCTCCTGGGTGCCTCAGGTCCTGATCCCAGGGTCCCCTGATGGAGCTCCATGTTGGGAATCCCTGCTCAGCGGGAGCCTGCTTCTCCCTTCCCTCTGCCCCACCCCCAGGCTTGTGCACGAGCTCTCTCTCTCTCCCTCCCTCAAATAAATAAAATCTTAAAACAAAACAAAACCTAGATTTTAAAGCGAGCAGGGCTGCTGGTATTTAAATTGGTCTCAGACATTTACTGGGTGAATGAGTCCATGAACAAAAGAATGGAGCCTCCACACATGAGCTCCGAGAAGGCACTAGGATGGGAGCCTTCTCTTTACGTGGAGGAAACTGTGGTTTTCAGTTGCACATGTGAATTGCCCAAGGTCACAAAATGAGTCCACATTACAGCCCTATCTAAGTTGTCCCTCCTTTCCCCTTCTTCCCTCCCTCAAATCACGCACACTACCACTTCACAGATGTCTTCCTCTACCTAAGGGCAAAAACGATGGACAATGAAGAGTTGCCCAAGTGCCACCTGGGAACACAGATGTCCCGGAGCACTGGCCCCAGGCTGCCCCTTTGCAGACAGACTTTCATCCCTGAAGGACTGAAAGAGCCAGGGAGAGCTTGCTCTGGCCTGCAGAGTGGCTGTGTGTTCCTGCGGCCCCTCAGGCCTGCCACACAGACTGGCGAGTCCCTGGGCTTCTGCTCGGGCTGGTTCCCCATCTGTGTGAAGGAAGGATGACATCTGTGGTTTTCAAAGTATCTTCAAAGCAGGAAACCCTTTCTTTGAACCACTCCCCCTTTTTTTCAATAAAATCAACATGAAAATGGAACTGCTGGAATGACCTGGCCCACACAGCCCTCCCTAGCAGAGGTGTGACAGCCCCCACTCAGTAGGGAATTCCCAGGGTAGCCAGTCCCTAAAAGGCCTTCTGCTCTGCTGTCCTCTGGTGCTGCATGCTGTGGGCGGAGGGGCACTAAGATTCCCAGAGGTAACTGCAGGCTGTGTAGAAGTCTCTACGGGGCTGCAATCCAGGGTGAAAAGCAGGTGGGGAGCAGGTGGCAAGTGGTCCATGTGGTAGAGGGGAAAGCACACAGCTGGGAAGGCAGAAACCCGGTTCAGATCCCAGTTGGTCCATTTATGGGTCAAGGTGTGAACTCGGGCAAGGTACTCAACCTCTATAAACAAAATTGGTAATACCTGCCCTGTAGGCTGTTAACAAATGTTAGTAATGTGTATAAAATACCCAGCTCGGGGCACCTGGGTGGCTTAGTCTTAAGCGTCTGCCTTTGGCTTAGGTCATGATCCCAGCGTCCTGGGATCGAGCCCCCCCGCATCAGGCTCCCTGTGGGAAGCCTGCTCTTCTGTGGGAAGCCTGCTTCTCCCATTCCCACTCCCTCCCCTTCTTTTCCTTCTCTGGCTGTCTCTCTCTCTCTCTCTCTCTCTCTCTGTCTCTCTCTGTCAAATAAATAAATTAAATCTTAAAAAAAAAAAAGTAAAATAAAATACCTAGCTCCAAGTCTGGCATGCACTAGGAGCTTAATAATTGGTAAATTAGGGACCAAAGGCTTCTACAGAGCCGGAAGCCACTGCCTTTCTTCTCTGCCCCCATCACACTTGCTGCAAACTGAAGCCCAACAGGGAGACCGGGCTAGGAGCAGGTCCTGGGAATCTCGAAGCACTAGCCTGAGTGTCTTCTGGAATTTAAGCTGTGTCAGTTGTGTGATACTTTTTCAGCAATGCCCACAACCCCAGACAGCTCTAACGTACATCTGAGGTTACAAATTAAAAAGAGATTGGCCCCTATGCAGTGATGAGGAAATTGAGGCCCAGCAGAGGCAGGGGCTGGCTCTTTCCCTGGTCTTTCTGGAACCACATAAAGCCTCTCTGTAGATAAATATCTGTGAGTGCTAGGGGCCCTGCAGGCAAGGACCTCAGGCTGGTGGCCTGGAACCACAAGGCTGGGCCCGTGTTGAAGGGCCGTGGGGCCTGGGTGACCTAGAAAAGTCCCTTTCTCTTGGGGACCCTTAGGAGAGCCAGATACTGTCCTGGGGGCTCATAGTCTCTGGGAGAGCCAAATAAAATGCATGTGGCTATGGGGGAGATAGGCCTGGACCGGCATTCTGGAAGGTCTCCGGGTATGCGTGGTGTGGGTGGGGATGGGGTGACATCTGCCTGAACCAGCTCTTCCCGGCCTCTGCCATTGCCTTCTACCTCTGAGAGCCACCTAACTGTGCATCTCTGGTCCTCCGAGTGTCACCACCAGCCTGCAACCAGACGCACACTGCTGGCCCTTCCCTCATGTTCACAGTAAGTCAGTCACCAAGTCTGCTTCTGGCTATCATCTCCTCGTCCTCTGCAGTCCTTACATGCCTCTCCTGAGCAGCCACAGAAGTCTCCCCGTCTTAGCCACCCTCCACCCTGGCACAACTCAGGCTTTCAGATCAATGCCTTTCAGTAGCACCTGAGGTCCCATGGGTAAAGTCCAAATCCCCAAGTCCCCGAGGAGGTTCGATGGTCCCCTCTGCAGAGATCTCTCCCTCCCCTGATCTCCTGCCACTCTTCACTGCACCTGCCTGCCTTGAATCACTTCCCACCTCTTTCCAGAGCATATCCATGATCCAAATAAATTCTGCTGAGGACAGAGGCCATGCATCAACAGCAGTGGGTCTGCAGCTTGGCACACAGCTAATAGGTGGTGGGACAGAGGGAAAGAGAAAAGGAAGGAAGAGGGGAGGGAGGGATGGAGGGAAGGAAAGAGGAAGGGAGGGATAGATGGATGAACAGATAGAAAAATGGGCATATAGCTGAATATTTGAAGTTCTGGAAAACTGTTTCTTAGGGAAGAAGGCAGAAACAACTGATACAAATGTGGCTTTAGAGAATTTGTGGATTTCTCCGAGGGTACAGAAAAAAAGTTGATTTCTCAAAATGCCTTTCACATCTGCCATCCTCTTGCCCTATCGCCGCCTATCACCCTGTTCTTGAACTACATGACAACTCATGCCACCTTTCCATACTGGAGAGTATATGGGCCACCCTCTGAGGCACAGAGAAGTAAAAAGCCTTGTTCAAGATCACACAGCAAGTGATCAGCAGAACAGTCTGAAAGCCAGACCTGTCACAGCAGGTCAGGATGAAGGCCAGGGAAAGCCACTTACCCCCAACACCAGCACCTCATGAGTCTGGATCTTGAGAAGAGATTCAAGGAGGGACCCGGCCTCACCCACCTGAGGTTCACAGCCCCAACTTCCCATGAAGCAGGACTTCTGAACCCTGTTGAATAGCTGTTCACTGAGAGCCTCCTGTGAGGCAGAAACTATGCTGGGCTAGACTCGGCCCCCGGGGCCCCAGCAGTGAGGAGTCTGTGGGAAACAGGTCCATGGCTGAGGCAGTGACCCAAGCTGACTGCTGGGAGGGCTGCAACAAGAAAGATACAGAGTGGGACCGTCCCAGGCCTGAGTTGAGCCTAGAAGTATGGGGAGGATTTGCAACCTCAGCGAAGTGGGAAAGACAGAAAGTTGGTGGTGAGCGCTGGGAGAGGTAACCCAGGGGAAGGGACCAGCGGGCCAGTCTCCTAATAGCAGTGTGCAGAGGGGGAGGTAAGGGTACCGATAAACTCCCACAGGGCCCCAGGCCCAGCGGCAGAGTGGTACTCTTTCTCCCAAAGACAATGGGATGGAAGGTGTTAGAAAGTGACAAGACAGATCTGCATTTTAGAAAGTTCACCGGGACAGCCACAGAGGTGAGGATGGGCAGCGACAGGTCAGACATAAAGAGGAAGTGCGAGTCTGTACCGGTGGAGCCAGACTGAGCCTGGCACATAGCTTGGCACAGAAGGGGCGCTCGGGGGAGGAGGGACGACGACAGAAGGAAAGGATGCTCAGAGCTGTCCGTAAGAGAGCTGGCTGGGGCGAGCTGTGTTGCAGCAAGAGATGCTGTCAGAGTTGGGAGGCTTTTTCCAAGTCTAACTCTGCTCCAGAAACAAAGCAAAAGCCACGCCTTGGCCGGACGCCGAGCGCTAATCCCATCAGCGCCTGGAAACCCTCCCTGACGCAATCTCTGGCTCGCAGACAGGGGGACCCTCCCTCGGTCTCTCCTTCCCTCGCTCCCTCCTGGTGGCCCGACGGCCACCCCGGCTTCCTGGCTGCCCCGGAAACTGCCGGCGCGGAGCCTCCCGGCACTTCGTCCCGCACGCCTCCCCATCCCGCACCCCGGATCCCGCAGCGCAGCCGGCGTTCTGACCCTGCGTGGCAGCGGCCGCCCCGCTCCCGGGGGCACCTGCCCGCCGCGGGGCAGTGTGAAGGCGGGGGGAGGGCGGCCCCGGCGCCCAGACTCGCGAGCCCTCCCCGCACCCGCCCGGCCAGCCCGCGGGCTCACCTGACTTGCCCATGGTCCGCTCGGCGCGCTCCCCGGCTCCTGCCGCCGCTGCGCTGCGCTGAGCTCTCTTGCCGGCGCCGCGCAGCTGGACAGCAGAGGAGGAGGCCCCGCGGCCGCAGCCCCTCCCCCGGAGCGGCCCGGCCCCCGCCTTATAAGGCAGTAGTAGCCGCAGGCGGAGGCGCCGGGGGGCAGCCCGCCGGCTTCCCGGAAGAGGCGCCACGCCTCCAGCGCTCTGCGCGCCTCCGAGTCCGGCTCGGGAGAACTCGCCTCGCGAGGGCACCGCCTCGACTGTCCAGAGCTCTCCAGGTGTGGACTGGGAGTCGGGGACCTTCCGGATCTCAGCCCCGAACGGCCCCTCTCTGGACGCGGAATGGGAGTGCATAGGGAAGCCGCTGAGGCGCTGCGAGGACCATAGTGCTTACTGTCGCGGCACGAGGGAGACAGTTCCAGCCCGCATCACCAGGGGCCAGGGCTCTCCCCACTTCGCCCTGACCCTCCCAAACACCTGTCTCTGAGTGCCCCACCTTCTGCTCCCCAGTGACACAGGGCTCCAAGGGCATCTCTGTCTTCTTCACTTGCCATACCCTCTGGTGCGAATCAGGGTTGGAGTCCGGCACTCACCCGCCTAACCTCCCAACCCTGCGTGGGCCCTCCCAGGGAGGGTGCGGCAGCCCTGCTCTGACCCGTGGGCCTGTCCCTCACTGGGTATCAAACCAAGCCAAATCCCCCACCCTTGAAGTCTGGCTCCAGACCTGTCTCTTCAACTCCCTAACTTCATCCCATGCTCCAGACTAGACTTCTTCATATTCCCCAAACATGCTGGGAAACTTCATCCCTTCTCACCTTTTCTGGGGCTGTTTCTGCAGTCTGGGTGCAGGCTCATCTCTGCCCACTGGAGTCCTAACTATCCCTCAGGGCCTTTGGGTCCCTTTAACTTCCAGAGACCCCGACCTTTCTTGACTTTGGGGGCAGTGGTCAGTACACACCTGGCACTGGGAAGACTGGTCTCAGCAATGCCCTACCCGTGTGTGAGAACAGCACGTGCATGAAGACACAGCCTTGGACACCTGCGTCACTCCCCAGAGTAACTCTGAGGTAAAGGAAGCTAAATTTAGGTAGTCCTTTCAATAAATGGGCACTGAAGTGAACGGACTTGCTGATTAGAAGGGGAGAATTTGCAATAGCACGGGCTTCGAAAGTCCAGTAAGGCAATGGTACTCTCTACTTCTTCCTCCTATGTCAGACTTTCAAACTGTGGTAGAGTGTTAGAAAGAGTGGCCCACCCTGAATCAAAGAGATTTTTGGTGTTAGGTGATGATCCAACCCATTGTGTTGTTCAATGCCCTCTCCCATTTTGCCAAAAATCCCCATTGAAATGTCCACAAATACACCCTGTTTCATATCACCTCTAGAATCCCCAGAAGGCTGTCTCCATTGTAAGGAAAACTTCAAGGCCACGAGTGGAGACAGCAGAGCACAATGGAGCCACTCACTGCCTGCTGAGAGAGACCACTGAGTTTCACTCCTGTTTCACCCCCATACTGAGATGAGGGTAGGCTTGGAGGGACGGGAGGACAAAATCCAAACTTTAGTGGCGTCTTTGGAGTCTGTGTGGGCTGGGATGCTGTGGGCTATAGAGGTGGCCTTAGCAGCAGGTTGTGGAAGGGACAGTGTGCTAAGTGGGGTTAGGGCAGAGCCAAAGTTGCTCCCTTCCAAGGGCTGTGGGCTGGTGGGGGGTGGGTACCATTGCCCAGCTTGTCCCAGCCAGTGTCCAGGAAGCAGACAGAGATGAGAGAAATGGTAACAAAGGTCAGACACAGGGAGGAGGTGACCCAAGTTACCACTTTTTTTTCATTTCACCTCCTATATTAAGAACTCCTTACCTACTCCAAGATTATGAAATATTTCTATGTTTTCTAGAACTTTTATTAAAGATTTTATTGGTTGATTGATTGATTGCAAACTGGGAGGGGGACAGAAGGAGACACAAAGAGAGAGAGAGAATCTCAAGCAGACTCCACCCTGAGATGGAACCAGAAGTGGGGTTCTATCTCATAACCCTGAGATCATGACCTGGGCCAAAACCAAGAGTCGGATGTTGAACTCACTGCAGCACTCAGGTGCCCCTCTTCTAGAAGTTTTAAAGTTTTAGCTCTCACATTTAGTTTTAGCTCTTACATTCATTCTGATTATGGTTTGTAGTATGAAGTCATTCATAGTATGAAGTCAGGATTAGAACTTTCTCTCTCTCTCTCTCTCATTATCTGGCATATGAATGCCCAATTGCTCCAGTATCATTTCTGGAGTTGGCTATCTATATGTGGGCTCCCTATTCTGTTCCACTGATCTATACATGTATTGATACACATAGTTTTACACTAATACCACCATGCCTCGATTGTTACAGCTTTATAATAAATCTTTTTTTTTTTTTTTTTTTTAAGTAGGTTCCATTCCCTTTGTGGAACCCAATGCGCAGCTTGAACTCACAAGCATGAGATGGAGACCTGAGCCAACATCAAGAATTGGACGCTTAACTGACTGAGCCACTCAGGTGCCCCATAATACATCTTGGTATCAAGTAGTGTAAATCCTCTTCTTTTTCTTTTCAAAGTTGCTATGTTCACTTTTTTTTTGCTTCATCCATTTTAAGCCCTTTGCGTTTCCATAGAATCGTCTCATCAGTTACTGTAAAACAAACAATCTGCTGGGATTTTGATTGGGATTGTCATGAATACATACATAAACTTGGAGGGAACTGACCTCTTAATGATATCGAGTTGCTGGTCCATCACCATGGTGTATCATTTTCTTTATTTAGATCTTCTTTAACCTATTTTTTGTGGGCTGCTTGCTCTGTATTTAGTTTTTCCTTCTTGTAATGTCTTTTTCAGATTTGGGGATCAACACTGGTCTTATAAAAGTTGGAAAGGGTTCTCTACTATTTTCTGGAAGAGTCTGTATGGAATTAGTATTATTTCTTTCTTAAATATTTGCTACAAATCATCAGTGAAGCTATCTAGTCATGGAGGAGTTTTTTATTCTTCTTTTTGGGGGTTGGGAAGGTTTTCAGTTACAAATTCAGCTGTACTGATAGATAGGGAACTCTTCAGATTGTCCTTTTCTTCTTCAGTGAGCTCTGGTAACTTGACTCTTTTAATAAATTTGTCTATTTCATTCACATAAATGGTGGAATTTATATGCATGAGGTTGCTAATATTGTCATCCTTTAACTGAATGATGTCTAATGGTGACCCTTTATCAATTCTGATATTGTGCCTTCTAAAGGTTTATCAACACAGTTGATCCTCATTATTTGTGGATTCTGTATTTATAAATTCATCTACTTGCTAAGATTATTTTGTAACCCTAGCAGCAGTGGGTCAGTATTCTCTAATGCAATGTCCCCTGCAATTTTATAGAACATAACTGCTGCAAATCATGAGACTCAATTGTACTATTGATCTTTAAAAACCAGCTTTTTGTTTCATTGATTTTCTCTATTGTTTTCCCATTTACTATTTCATTGATTTTTATATTTCTTACTTTTTTTCTGTTTACATGGGGTTTAAGTTGCCCTTGTTTTTCCAGGTTTTTAAAAGATTTTATTTATTTATTTGCCAGAGAAAGAGAGAGGGCGTGAGCACAAGTAGGGGGAGTGGCAGGCAGAGGTAGAAGGAGAAGCAGGCTCCCCACACAACAAGGGGACCCTGATGTGGGACTCAATCCCAGGACCTGTGGACCATGACCTGAGCCAAAGGCAGCCGCTTAATAGACTGAGCCACCCAGGTGCCCTTATTTTTCCAGTTTCTTAAGGGGGAAGTTAAAGTCTAATTTTCCCAACACCATTTACTGAAGAGATTGTCTTTTTTCCCATTGGACATTCTTTCCTCCTTTGTCGAAGATTAGTTGACCATAGAGTTGAGGGTCCATTTCTAGGTTCTCTATTCTGTTCCTTTGATCTATGTGTCTGTTTCTGTGCCAGTACCATACTGTCTTGATGATGACAGCTTTGTAATAGAGCTTGAAGTCTGGAATTGTGATGCCACCAGCTTTGGTTTTCTTTTTCAACATTCCTCTGGCTATTCTGGGTCTTTTGTGGTTCCATACAAATCTTAGGATTATTTGTTCCAGCTCTGTGGAAAATGCTGATGGTACTCTGACAGGGATTGGATTGAATGTGTAGATTGCTTTGGGTGCTTCATGTGCGTTAAAACTTTTTATCTGGAGGATAAACCGTGAAAATTCTTGCATCATTTTGATAAATTAACCCATCATTATGAAAGGGCTCTATCTCTGGTAATATTTCTTCATGTGAAATCTACTTTGTCTGATATTAATGTAGTCATTAAAACTTTTTAATGAGCCCCAATGTGGGGCTCGATCCCAGGACCCTGAGATCACGACCTGAGCCGAAGGCAGAGGCTTAACCCACTGAGCCATCTAGGCACCCCTGGATCTTTATTTTTATCCAGTCTGACAATATCTGCCTTTTAATTTGTGTTAAGACCATTTAAACTGGATAACTTTATTTTCAAATTTCTAGGGTACAAATACAAAACTTGATCCCAATAGTAGGCCTTAAAGTAAACCATGATAGATTCCTGAAAGTAGATCAGTTTGGTTAAATTTTCTGAGCATGATGTAATAAAACTAAAACTTAGTAACAAAAGGTTAACTGAAAAATTTGGAACTAGTTATACATTTTAAAAAATCCCTCCTAGTACACTGAAAGGGAAAATCAAAGCAGATGTTCAGAGATGAGTGAGAATTAGAATACGGAATAACTATAATGTTTGAGAGTGTGGAGCATGGACGTGAAGTCAAGTGCCGTCGTCCAAGTTCTGGCTCTGCTCCCCACTGACTGTGATTCTGATCCAGGTATTCATAAAAAGATAGTAACACTTAGAGGGTTTTTTCCCAATTAAATGAGATGATACTTAGCACTCTTTAAATGTCACTGTTTACACAGTGCACTTAACATTTCCCAATCACAATTTAGATGTGTAAAAAGGGAACTCTTTCTCTGTCTAGATCAAGTCCAAGTTCAACTGATGGCAGAAAACGTAAACTTGAACA